GGGAGCGAGAGGGAGCGAGAGGGAGCGAGAGGGAGCGAGAGGGAGCGCTGCCTTCCGCGAGAGCCGCCACCAGCCGACGCCAGCCGGCCCGCTACGGACAGCATGGGGAGCAGCAGCGCAGTGCGGCCGCCAGGGGGCAGCCGCGAGTCGCGCCCGCAGCCCGCAGCCCGCAGCCCCGCTACCTGCACGGCCGGGTGAGCGACGCTCCCACGCCCGAGTCGCGGCGCTCCCGCATCTCCAGCTCTTCGGCCTCGTTCAGGGAGTTGCCCGTGCTGTCGAAGTCACTGGCAGAGGTGCCGACGTCTGACATGGAGCGCTCCTCAAGGTGCAGGTTGGAGGGGAAGGTGGGCTCCCCTCCCGAGTCTGTCTCCTCTTCCTCCTCCTCCTCCTCTTCCTCCTCGCCCCCTTCTTCCCCCACCAGTTCGGGGGAGATGGCTTTATACCAGAGCTCCACTTTCTGCTGCAGCCCCCACATGTGCTGCAGGATATCGTCCAGGTTCTCGTAGGTCACCTCCTCATCTCCCTTGCAGAGATCCTCAGCGCTGCCAAACTCGGGCACATTGTCGTACACGCTCACCCGGCTGCCCAGGGAGCTGCAGGAACCGCGGCGGCGGCAGGCAAAGCCCTGCGGGGAGGATGAGCCCTCCACACCGCTGCTGCTGCCACAACCCCCCAGCAGACCCCCAGACTTGGCTCCCGGCTTCCAGCTGCTCAAGGAGCCGCTGCCGAGGGGGCACAAGCTCTCAATGGAGAGGGATTTGGGGAAGGTGCCCGGCTTGTGGTCCCTGGGAACATAGACCAGGCAGTCCCCACGGCACGCCTGCCGGTGCTGGCATTGTCCTGCAGCCCAGTCACCACTGGGCTCTGTGGCTGTCTGACAGGCCTCCAGGTGGAGCCCGCTCCGTTTTGGGTCAGAGCCCACCTTGCCTCTGCCTGAGTCCACCAAGCGGTTAGTCCTGTATGACACTGAGAAGAAGTGTTTTTTGCCATGGAAAGAGGCAGATACTCCTCTTTTAGGAGAGTTGGCCTTGGTGGCTGAGAGGTCCCCATTATTCTTTGTGCAGTACCAGCCAGGATTGGCCACAACACCGCCGCATGGAACATCCTTCTCATCTGGGCCAGCTTTCTCTTTGTCCTTCCTTCGAAGCGACTCAATCCTCTTCAGGAAGCTGCGAGATCTCCTCTTCTTTGGTTTCTCCTTGGAACATTCGCCGTGGTTCAAGGGCTGCTTGGCCAAGGAGCAGCTGCTGGGGCTGCAGGTGGGCTGGGAGACAGCAGCACCGTGGCCAGGGGACAGGTCAGGTGCTGTGGCTGCAACACCGAGTGTGCTGCCCATGCTGGCGCTGCTGTGAAGGGACACAGCCTCCGGGTTGGTGCTGAGGTCAGTGAGGACGCTCTCATGGCTGGACGCCTGCCGCACGCTGGAGGTGGGGACCTCAGAGGCCTGGGAGAGAACATCAGCAGAGCCCACCCGGGACCACCTCTTGCTGTCCCGCTGGAAAGCCCACCGGTCACTGATGGCGCACAGGTCCTCGTCCTCAGAGTCTTCATTCTGTGGGAGGCAGAGCAGAGGGGAACATCAGACCAGGGACACGTAGAGTGTCCTTCACCCTGCTCTGCCGGGACGAGCTCCTGAACTGCGAGCACAGCATTCTCCCCGTCATGCACACAAGGAGGCCACTCCAGCCCTTCTGCAGCACGGCTCAGGGAGCACAAGGAGCGGTTGTGCCCGAGCTCAAGTGCTGGGCTAGGCAGTGAAGAAGTAGTAACATTCTTGCACTACCTCAGAACAGCTCCCAGGCAGTAACTGTATCTACAACAGCAAAACACTCGCCCATGGAAGCTGTGCGGGCACAGCCCACCCCAGCAGTCCTCGGCCTCTCCCAGCAGCTGTCCATTTCCCTGTGCCTCTTCCACACTGAGCCCCGTCACCCCGCTGCTGCTGCAACAGCTGCACCACAACCAGCTCCAGCACAGCCCCTTCCCCTCCTGCTGCTTTGTGCTCCGGAGAAGGGGATCCGGACATGGGAACAATGTCCCCATGTGGTGGCCTTCCTGCCATTCTGCTGGGCAGGTGGGGGTCCTGGGCGCAGGGCCATGGTGCCCCAGCTGTGCAGAGCCCACCTGGGATGTGTGTGGTGATGATAGGGGCAGGGACCGGCTGCACCCTTTGGGGGGACAGCCCCTCCACAGCGAGGGGGCAGGAGAGAATCCTCCCACAGAGATGGCAGGAGAGAAGTGATAGTGAAGGAGGTGCAAGAAAGGGCCAAGAAGTTCTGTGACCCCAGGTCTGTGCACTGCAGGAGTCCCGGCTCCACACAGCAGCCCCAAGGCTGCTGTCACCACCACCACAGTGGCAGAGGCCAGGGCTCATCAACCCTGCTTGATGAACCACCGTTACCAGGAGCACCAGGAGTTGTGGGGCAGAGACAGCATGGGCACACAAGGGCAGTCAGCAGCTCCCAGGCTGCACCCTTCCTTGCAGCAGGGACGAGGGGAGCGAGCACCGTGTGTAGCTGCGTGCACCGACCCAGGGGCAGCACCAAAAAAACACGACAGGCTTGCTGCTCCACGCATCCCCTTGAGAGTCCTGAACTCACCTGTTTACGCTGAAAGTGGACTTCCAGCTTCATGGAGGCACATGTGTTCAGGGTCATCAGCCTCCTGCAAGAAAACAAGAGAGCTGTACCCCGGCTGTGGCTTCCTGCTCTGCTCACAGTGCTTTCTTTCTTTTTCCTTTTTCTTCTATTTTTTGTCTCAGAACTGTTGTTGTGCCTGGTCACCTGTCACCCAGCAGCTGTGGCTCCAGGGATCAGGCAGACACGTAGAGCTGGAGCAGCTCCAAGCACAGCACACAGCTGTGGGCAGGCTCTCGAGCTGCACCCTGCCTGCAGAGAAGTCCAGGGGCCCTCTGCACCTCCTTCGCCCCAGCACAGCAGCCATCACATGAGCCCTTGGCACGGCAGCAGAGGAGTTTAAACCGCTCTGACACGCTGGTGGCACGGGCGCTTGGTTGTGGGCCAGCAGGGGTTTTGCCAGCGCAGCCATCAGAGCGGCACTCAGTGCTCAGTGCAGACAGCAGGACGTCCCAGCCGTGCCTTGGTGCCTGCAGCCCCCAGCACCGTGTTTACTCTCACACAGCAGCAGCCCCAGCATCAAAGGGTGCCCGGCTCCCTTGGCTCACAGCACTCTGGGCACACCAGGGTATGAAAGGACAAATGCAGGGGCAGGGAGGTCACCAAGCTGAAGCCAGCAGAGCAGCTCTGAGCAAGCTAGAGAGGAGTGTTGCCACCCCAGCCTGCCCTGAGCCCACTCCCGTGCCCCTCCACCTATCTCTCAACTACAGATTAAGGTCCTGTTTCTTTACACAAGTGAATGAATCTCCAGTTCATTCATTTCATTTAGCACTTTGTAAACTCTTCTGCAAGCACCGCACAACTTCTGTTCCGGCTTGAAAATTGTGCACCTGCACATCCAACAACAAAAAAATCTTAGGCACCCTTTACCAAAAATGTGATTAATGCCCCTTCTGTAGTTCTGCTGAAAACTTCCAAACATGAGCACCGTTGTGCAGCTCATCCTCTGGGAGCAGAGGCATGTCACCCTATCCAGGCTGCTCATCACACCTATCTGCCTCCAGGACAGTGCTGAGAGAGCTCTGTGAACGAGCGATTACTCAGGGAGCAAAGTAACTTTGCAAAGCAATGGCTACCATGGGTCAGAAACATGACTTCTGCTCAGAACTTAGCCTGTGCTCGGCTCGGGATGAAGGTGACCTGGAGTGCCCAGTGGCCACCTGAGAAGGTCTGCTGGGGACAGAAGCACCACAGCTTCGGAGATAACATCCATCAGCTCAACAAGAGCGGCAGCCTGAGCTGGCAGCAGAGCCCTGGCCTTGCCCTGTCCATGCAGTTGTTGGGAGCCATCCATGCAGGACAGGGACAACCTGCACCTGGCCCTCAGAGCAAAACGCCCTGTGAATGCCTGCGGCCCGCCAGGCAAAGACAAAAGGACACAAAAGCTCAAACAGGGGTGGGTGCTCACCCTGGCACTTCACAGCCTCCCCGGCCTGCACTGTGCACAGCACCATCGGCAGAAGATGAGCTCTGCAGCCAATGCAGGGCAACAAGCAGCCAGCAGCCGCCCTGCCCTGCACCTTGCCGCTCCCCAAAGCATGTCTGGAAGGCAACAGCTGTGCCAAGCACTGCTCAGCTTCTCAGCGTGGGGGCACAGATGTGGTGATGTGGCCCAAAAGCAAAAGCAAGGCTGAGTCACCTCCCTGCCAGCGTGACACACAGCCCGCCTGGACAGACAGACGTGGGTCCCTCCTGCCGGTGTCTGGTCATTCAGAGCTCATCTCTGAAATGCCACGCTGCTTCCTCTGCCAGAAAAAAAAACCCAGTGGCATCTCTCTGATCTATTTTCAACCCTGCACTGTGAGAGCAGCACGTCCTTGAGGGAAATGTCCTGGCTCCTATTGCCAGGCGCTGGGTGACCAACACCTCTCTGTTAGCAGGGCAGCCCTCGGAGCCACCAGAACAGCATTTATTCCAGGAATGGGCAGGAGTTTACAAGCACGATGCGAACCAGAGCTGCACAGCTGACAGCTCCTGAACACCCATAGCTCCCAAGGACCCGCACACAGGGCCAGCACACAGCACCTCTGCCCCACGCAGTGCCTCTCATTGCACGAACGCTCAGCAAATCCCTCGCCGCATGCCTGCTCTCTGTTGCAGGTGGCACAAACCCAATGACCGAGTGCAAATCTGCCTGCAGACAGAATTTCATCCACAGGCACTTTGACCTGGATCTGGCTCACACCATAAACCACACACAAACCAACACAGAGGTGAGGTTTCCAAACACCATTCTTGCAAAATCAAGCCACAAGATGTCCCTCCCCTATGGCTCTCCCCCCAGGACAACGTGTGCATGAAGCATGGCCCAGAGCAGCCAGGAGGAAGGAGAGGAGCTCAGGCAGTAAGGCCAGGTCTCCTTGCACCACTGCTCAGTGTTACAGCTCACCTCTCACCAATCCATTTTCAGCAGAGCTCCACAGCCTGGAGTTACCCACATGTAAAACTACAACAAGGCTCAAAAGTCAAACAAAAAGAACTTCTGGCTAATGTCTGTTCTCCTGCAGCTCTGCATGTTCACAACAAAACACAGTGCAGTTTCCCTGGCACCACAGTCCACCCAACACAGCAGCTGTGTGAAGCACCCTCAGTCACTGCAGGACAGCAGGCAGCACCTGCAGGGCTCAGCTTGGCATTCTGCAGCCACCAGCCGGCTTTGTGGAAACTTTACCTGCAGAGAGATTTGAGAGAATCCTTGTCCAGGAAACTGTGGTCTTTTTTCACAGCGCCGATGTCAAGAGGGAACAACGAGTCTGGGGACAAAGGCAAGAGGTGGTCAGTAGGGCTCCAGGCAGCTCCACCACAGAGAGGTCAGTGCAGGAAGGGGCAAGCAGGGCGAGACATAGGGCAGGAGCAGGGGGCATAGGGCAGCAGTGAAGGGGGGCAAGCACCAGCCCAAAGAAAAGAAGACCTGTCAATGGCACTGACACCAGGAGCAGCCAATACAATGGCTTCCACCACTAGAAGGGAAGAGCAGCCCAGCAAGAAGGGCCCAGGTCCACAAAGTGAGAGAAGAGGGACCTGAGTGATGTTACCCCTGCATGGAGACCTTGGGCCATGGCAGGTTTTGGAGAGAGGCCACCCCCAACCAGTGCTTGACAGCCGTCTCGGTGCCCATAGAACACCACACCGAATGCACAGGGATCCCTCAGTGCCCCAGACTGCCTTTGTCCACTATTCCATCAGGGTCAAGGAAGCCTCTTGGTGCCACTGAGGAAAGCTGAGAGCTGCTAAGAAGCCTCCACCCCAAGAAAGCAGCACCAGTACAAGGCTGCACCAGTTCCAGAATCTTTTTCCATCTTTCCAAGTTCAAGTGAAGGCACTGTGTGCCTGGACTCCCCAGGCAGATCATTTTTGGGTGACGAGGTGCCCCAGGACCTCCTCCAGCACTCACAGAGAGCTCAAGGATTGCTGCACAGGGATTGCTGGGCTGTGAGCTCACCTGGCTGCTGCAGCCACTATGGAGTGCAATTACCAAAGGGTCACACAGACCTGCCGGCTGCGGGGAACAGAATGAAATGGCCTTAGGACATGGAAAGCTCTGCTCAGAGGCTGGGGACGGGGGGGGGGTTCGTTCACAGACCGCAGCAACCTCGGTCAGCACAGAGCCCTGGGGCCGGGCACAAACTGCAGGACCCGGGCAGCCACCGCACGTGGGGCCAGCCCTGAAATAGGAACCGGAGCCGAGGTGCAGCCGGTAAGGGCACTGGCACCTGGTGAGGCCGTGCAGTAAGGGCATCGCCTGGGCACGGCGGTGTCTGGATCACAACATGCACAGCAATGAGCGCCGTGCGGAGCGGGGGGGGGGGGAGGCAGACAATGGTGGGCGGTGCGGCCCCACAGCCGCGCTTCCGCCGATTGTAGCGGCCGCCGGGCCGGGCTCCCTGCAGGCTCCCGCCGTGTGGGGCCGAGCTGCACACGAGCTCACCTGCAGCACGGCGTGTGCACGGCTGGGGGACGGGAGTGGGTCTGCAGGGCCCGGCAGAAGGCAGAGAGGCAGGACATAGCGCTCCCTGCGCTGCCCACGTTGGCCATTGGCACAGCCTGCTCGCACCCAATGCTCGCACCCAATGCACACACCCCGACCCGCCCTGGCCCAACCAGGAGCCCTGGGATGTCCCCCACAGCCCTGCAGCAGGGATGCCGTGTTCCCTCACCCCTCACCCAGGCACAGTGACCCTGCCCCAGACCAGACTGGGCAGCTCTCACCTTCATAAAGCTGGGCATACTGCGGGAATCCTGCCGCTCGCAGCCAGTCGCAAGCCTTCTTGGCTTCAATTTCTGAAACAGAGCAAAGGAACAGTGAGCATCCAACTGGCAAAAGCAGTGCTGCATCATGCGGCAGCTCCCCACGCCGGGAGCCCAGCAGCCATGTCACCAGAGCCCAGTTTTGTATGCACCACCCAGAAGGAGCACCAAGAACACCCGCTGGGAAGCAGGTGTGAGCGTGGTGCTGGCAGCAATGGGGCACTGTGGGCTCCCACCATACAGGACACCAAGCAGAAACTGCTCAGCTCTGGGTGCTCCACTAACGTGGGACAAACAGCACAGGTGGGACAGGCCCATGGACGCAGTTCTAATTCTAACTCCTGATGAGACGCTTCGTTTCTAAACCCACCAAACCAAACAAAGCACTCTGCCAGGAGAGGGAGAGGAACATCTTTATTTTCAATACTTAATTCTGAGCCCATCAAAGCTTAGGGCTGGTCACTTCATGGAACTTTTGCAAACATCCTCCAGAGGAGTCTGCCAAAAGAACTTTTTCTTTTCCCTCCCACTTCCCCCATCTCTGACCACCCCCTCCTTTCTTTCCAGCTCGCTTTCATCCTGGCACGCAGCACAGCCTGCTACAAGCACAGGCTCTCCAGCACAGAGGGGAACTGTAGCCACACTGGACCATGGGATGCAGACAGACAGCTTGCCCAGCCACCAGAGCCCCAATGGTTTCTACAACTCCTGCCCAGCCCATCCCTGCTTCCTCATCCACGGTTCAGCTGTTCTCAGGCTGAGCCCATCCAAAGCCCAGCGCAAAGTTCCGGGAAATTTCTCAGATTTACAGAACTTGAGGGAACGTGCAGCCAGAGAAAGCTGCTGTCTGGTGTCAGCAGTCCATCTGTCTGCTGAGATTTACAGTTCTTGTCACAACAAACAGTTGACTTCAAATGTAGAAAATGTGACTGCAGCTCCAGATTTCTGCCCATCCCTCCCACAGAGGCTCAACCCAGAAAACACTGGGACTGAGCCTGATTCACCCAGAGTGCACGGCAGTGAAACTCTCCAATTTCATCACCATCTACTGACAGCCGCAGCTGAGAGCTCCTCTTGCACTTACAATCAAAGATACTGCGCAAAAAAATTAAAAGGACAATCCGAGCAGTTCAGTTAAGGACAGAACCAAGGCAAAACCCCTGACCTGAATGCCTGAGGCAATTCAGGGAGGAGGTTTGGAACGAGCATCCAAATGCAGATCCAAACAGCTCAGCTGTGTGCTGAGCCCCAACAGGACTCAGTGGGGCTGAGATCCGGGGGTCTCTCTGCAGCCCCCATCCAATGCCATGGGGTGGGTAACACTATGCCCTCACAGCGGGGAGCGCTTTCAGACCGTTTTGATCACCTGTGTCCCTCCTTCATCCCACACAGCTCCTTCACAGCTGCCTCACCTCAACCTGCCTTCCCCCCCTGCCCCTCCTACCTTCAGAGCTGAGCCTCTGACCACAGCACCCAAAGAGTCAGGCGTCCCCTGTAGAGACGAGGAGCACAACCCTCCATATGTGCTGCTGCCCCACAGGAATCCCCCTGCCCACAGGAGGGGTTGGGTCTGGCACTTCCACCCCCTGAAGGAGACAGCAGAGGGAAGGGAAACCAGCAGCAGAGCGTGTGCCCACCCAGCGCGCCGCAGCGCCCAGCTTACCCATGCCAGCAGCAGGACCGAGCTGGTAGAAGAGCATGGCCGAGGCGGCGGAGGGTCTGTTCAGCTGTGCAGGTGGTGCAGGGATGCCGCAGCCCCTACCAACCCCCAGTGCTGGCAGGCAGATCCACAGCCTGCTGGAGCTCAGCACCCGCCCCGCTCCTCAGCCGCTTTTCAGCTTCGCCAGCTGCCTTCCCAACGCCTGCACAGAGCCCAGACCCCGTCCCACAGACTGGCACAGAAAAGGTTTCCAAGCGTCCCCGTCCCGGACAGAGCTGGCCGCCAGCTTCCTCCTCCCACCGCCCTTTCCACAGAAGTACTTTCCCAAGGAAGTGCAGGAAAGGATCTTTCCGAGCCTTGATAAGAATGGGCAGAAAACCACTCATACGAATGTCACAGGCGGCTTGTGAATGGCCCGCAGGGGAAGCAGCAGTGAGACTGTGGCCAGACTCTGTGACAGGGTCACCTACCACAAGCCATGTCTTCAGCCCTCCTCACCACCCCCAGCCGTGAGCTTCAGCCCAGGCACAGCAGGCTGAGAACCCCCAGCCAGCAATGGGCAGCTCGGCACCTTCCTGCAGCCCTGCTGGAAATCCCATCCCTGATTCTCCAGGGATGCAGGCCTGCATGGGCAGAAATGTGCTGGTGGCCAGGAGCCATTGGAGCAGGGATGGGGACAGGTTCCCTACCGAGCTGCGTGCCTGTGCCGGTTCTCTGATGTCTAATACAGCTCATCCTCACAGCAGTCCGTGCAGAGGGTCTCCTTCCCTTCTTTTCTTAGCAAAGGGCTCTCACCAGCTTGTGGCAGCTTAATATCTTTGAGATCCGTCTTTCGAATGTGACGGAAATGATTGCATTCAAATTGTATGACAGGAGGAGCAGGCACACGGACAGCAAACTGCATAAACACAGCGTGCTCACTTCCTTCGGGGCAAGGTAAGAAGGAGCTGCACAGAGCTGCCCTCCTATCACCAGCAAACCCAGCTGGGAAAGCACACACGGCACGAGCAGGGCTCCTGCACAGAAAGGGCACAACAGATAACATGGAGTAGAGAAAGACAGCAGCACTTCCATCTTCAATGTCACAGATTTCTGGGGAGGAGAAAAAGGGCTGCCTTGTTCCTGTTATTTTTAGATGGGTTTCCTAAGAAGACTTGTGCAACCTTTCCCTTTCCCTGGGCGTGCGTTACTCCAGCTGTCAGTACCAGCAGCGCTCCAACCTGCTGCCCAGCTTCACACAAATCTGACAGAGTAAAGACACACACAGAGCTGCTGGCGAGCTCCTTGGATGCAGCTGGACAGGCAGACAAACAGCCCCTTTATGGCTCCCACATCAGAGGCAGCAGTTGTGTGAGAGGAGCCCTCAGCAAACACCCGGACATCCCCATAGGGGGAAAAAGCTCCTGGTGCTGCACAGCCATTGCAAGACACCAGAGAATCCCCTCTGGGCACAGCCTCTGCCCTTCTCCAGCAGCTGCTCTGGGGCGTTTCCCAAGGAAAAGGCTCACATGCAGGCACCATCCCCACCCCAGTGATCTCATCCTCAGCAATGGGGACTTGAATCAGTCCCTGGGGACCGGGCTGTAGTGGCACAGGGGCTGCACTCTCTGCTGTGACACAGCGTAGGGGACAGATGGCTCTGCATGGCAGATTTGTGAACGGGTTGGCAACTGGGACCTGGCTGTACAGCCCAGTACCCTGCAGGGAGGATTGGGAAGGAGAAATGAAGAGAGGCTCTCACTGTTGGTGAAAGGAGAGCCCCGTCACATTCCTCCTCCTGCCCAGCTCCTGCAGTGTGGCATTTCACTGACCACGGGGACTGTTTGGGAGCTGGAACACTGGGGGCAAACAGCATGCCTGATAGCAAAACTTGCCAGGACCCTGGCTCAGCACTTTCTCTTTAACATAAACAATAAAAAAGTCGAAGTAGCACCTCAGCATCTGAATTCCCCATAAAAAGTCCCACACAGCCTATTAGTGTGTGAAAAGAGAACCACGACATCAAATTGCCCATATGACATAATGGAGAGCCGTTAAATCTGCTGCCAGGCAGATGGGAGCGCAGCACTGCGTGTGGATCCTCGTCTGGGTGTGTTTGCATGTTTTCTTTCCACCCCAGTTTAAAACAAACTGTTGCCAACAACACTGAATACGCAGAAATTCAGCTCCGTTCGCAGCTCCTAAACAGAATCCCTGCCTACTTTTAAAGAAATATCAGAAAATTCCAACACTCCACCTAAGCTGTGGGTCGTGCCTCAACCGCTCACACACACAAGAATGTGAAATAACCATCTCACATGGGAAACACACCCTGCACTGCAGAAGGTGTTGTGGCCAGGGGCAGCGCAGTGCCACTGAAGGCAGAGGCATCCAACCTGCCTGCAATGCCCAGCTCTGCGGGACCCAGCCTGGCACTGCCCACACCTTGTGCTCTGTGCTCTGCCCACTCCTGTCAGGGATTAGAACTGGGCAGGGGAGCAGAGCTGTGGACATCCCCCATCCTGCACAGCTCAGCACGCTGTGCCAATACGTAGGAATGATCAGCTGCTCACCCGTCCAGCTCCCCTCAGAGCCCAGCAAAACACAACGATTTCAAAGCTGTGAGCATGGAGAGGGCACAGAGACAGGAATGTCCCAGATGCAGTGGGTTTCCATAACTAGCCTTCTCTCTGTGAAGAGGTCTCGAATTTTGGGAGCTTCCTCCTTGCAACGTCACCAGCAAGGAATTGTTTGGCACCCACTCCACTGGGTGCCAAAATACCCCATGTGCTCCAAGAGGCACCCGGCACTGCACAGGCACTGCTGAGCTGTGACAGGGAAGGGACAGCACAGTGCCCCAGCAGCCTTGGAGCCCATCACTGCCCTGGTATGCCACGGACAAGCAGTGTGGGGTGCCAGATGAGCAAAGGGGATCCTTGGGGAACACTGCTGCAGGAGGCAATATAGAAATCACCAGCCAGCACCCACATGTGCTGCGCTCTAAGCCTTGTCCATGCAGATGGCCACCAGGACAAGAGGAGAGCTGCAGGAGGGAAGAACACAGCTGGTGTGCAGGCTGCAGGTACAGGATGTGGGCACAGACACAGGCACAGGATGGAACTGCCTGGTGGCTTCTTGCTGTGCTTTGGGGCTGCAGCCCTCGCAGCAGACTGGATAAAGGTAGACATGTGTGAGGTGAACTGGTCACTGCAGAGGTGATAGACCAGCACGCTCATTTCCCCTCTGCAGGTAACCAAAGGTGTGCTCCCCACAAGCATTTCCACCTCTCACTGTGTTCCAACCCCAGACTTGGACCAGCTCTGATCCGAATTGCTCCAGCACAGCTCCAGACAGAGAGCTGAGGGAAAAGCATGGCACCCAGCAGGGCAGAGCAGAAAGCAGAGCTCTGCACACTGCCTCCATGCCCCTCTCTCGCACACTCTTGCTCAACCGCCCCTGCACCCAGAGAACAAATCCACCCTGGGGCCAACAGATGCCTGCAGGTGTGCTAATGCAATTACTGCACTCACAAGGACCCAGCACTGATTTAACAGCTCCCCAAAGGCTGATGATCGTATCAGACACTGTGGTTTCTGCTCAGAAACAGATAAGAGCACGTAGCCATTTTCCGCATCCTGTGCTTGGAAGTGAGCAGATCAGTGCCTTCCTCCTGAGTACAGCCCCTGACAACCATTCGCTCGCTGACCGTGTGCTGTCACACATCTCTGAGTCATGCTGGCTGCTCTCATTCCTGATACTGGAATCCCAAAAGAGAAGCAAGAGGTGAACAGCCATGGAGGTGCTCAGCAGAACGAGTGCTCCTTGCCCATCCTGCACCCCACCCTTTCTACAATTGCGCCCTGCCTTCCTGCTGCCTGTCCTGCAGCTCTCACTCACTGTTTGGACAGGCAGGCGCCGTCCCAAAGCAGAGCCCCATGCAGTGTGTGCCTTCACCTTGACAAAAATAGGATTCCACTTTTCCATTGCTCAGAAGCGTTTCAGACCCGGGTCAGCAGAGAGATGCCCTCGCAGCCTCCTCCCACCCCCAGCACCCTGTGCAGCTGCATTGCAGCCACCACCAAAGGCCAGCAGTGAAGGCAGCATTGCTCTCACCTCTGCAGGGAGCCCACAGCTCCGTACCACTGCATCTCCAAGCAGTGCAACATGCAGAAACTCCTCTCCAGCTTTGAAGCCACCCTCAACTCCCTCTGCTTTTAAATCCCAGTATTAATAAAATATTTACCTGCTTAAGACAGGAGGGAACTTTCTCCTGTTTTTGTGCATTTATTGAGAAGAAACACCTGGATCTGTTACAAACTGCACAGAGAAGCACTGTTCCCTTGTGGGCTTTCTGCTCCTTTGTGCAGCACAGAACAGGAGTGGGGCACCTTACAGCTGGGGCACCCAAGGACCCCTCCTGTGTGCTGGGCCCCCCCACAGCCCTGGGGACACCCCCTGGAGCACAGTTGGTGCTGCAGTGTCTGTGTCCCACTGCCACCCTCCTGTCCCAGACTGGAGGCCTCCCTGCAGCTCTTCTGGAAAAGAAAAATAGTTGCAAAATCGTGGCATTGAACCTTGATGTGAAATCCCAGCTCCAAAAAGCAGCCAAACGGTGTTTCTCGTGCAAACACAGCTCTGCATAAACGAGGGCAGGAATTTCTCCATGCCCACAGGATTCCCCCCACTGGGAGCGCGAGGGGATTAACCCGAAGTCACAGATCCCTACTGCTGCCCAAAGCACACAGGCGCTGTGCTGGGACACCCCCAGCATTGCTGTGGCATTGGTCACTGGCACAGCTGCACAGCAGTTCCCAGGGAGGAATTTCCATTTGCTGCAAGCGCGCATCCGCCCCCCTGCCCTGCAGCTCACCCTGCTCAGCAGCACGGCCCTTTCCCTCTCCCACCCCCCCACTTCCTGCCTTCCTTTCCTCCATCTGAACACGACATTTCCACTGCAGGCGGTGTGGGATGGGCGCATCAGTGCTGCTGGGACTCCCAGCCGAAGCCTGTTCTCATCCCCACTGCCAGGCAGTGCTCACAGGGCACTCTGGCACAGGCTCAGGAAACAGTCAGAGGTCCCCAGGAGCTGGCATGCCACGGAGTCACCACACTGCCACCAGCCTGGCCAGCTCAGTGAGAAACGAGCCCGAATGTTAAAGAGGCCGCAGCTCTCCTACGTCTGCAGCATCTTAAGCAGAGAGCAGAGGGGCTGAGGAAAAGCCACGCGCTGTGCACACACTGCAGCCAGCCCTCAGTCGGCCGCATCCATTTCCCCTCTGCTCCCCATGTGCACAGCCACATCCTGAGCTTCGCTGCCCTCCTCACATCAGGGCCAGTGGGAGCAGCCCCTCACCCTATGGGAGCCACGGAGCCGTTCAAGGGGAGAAGAAAAAGGTAAAGGGAAATCTGCTCTTCTTTTCAAGAAGGAAAAGCTGAACAACAAAACAAACTGCACCTCCTAACCCTTCCCTCAGCCCACAGCACAAAAGCCAAAGCAAATTGTCTGGCTGCAAAGGAAATGTGGTTTTCAAGAAATCTCTTGACAAGAAGGTCACCTCACAGACTTTCCCATCTCCCCCCGAACGTGTATTTCTTGGCTGCAGCCTGCTCCAGGATGGAAAGGCAGAGCCGGGGCACTCACCACAGCAGCAGCTGTCAATCCTGGCTTTGTCCATCAGGAACGGAGGCCGAGGCACAGTGAGGAGGAGCAGCATGGCCAGAGGCCACCCCAGGCACCGTTAGAAGGCACTGATGGGGCAGGCAGGCAGGCAGCTGGAGGTCCAACTTGTTCCATGCAGGCCTATGCACCACGCTGCTGAAACCAGCCCCTGGCACGGCCAGCCCAGAGAGCCATCCGAGTTCCCTTTGGCGACAAACAGGGCACCTACAGCTGGGCAAAGGGCTCAGCTCCAAGGAGCAGCAGTGGGAGAGCTAAGGCAAAAGCAAAAGCAATGGTGCACACACACACAGACGGACGCTGCTTAACTGTTTCGAGCTCTCCAACTGCTCTGCACAGCCCTCCCACGCTGTGACTCACCGGCAGCGGCTCAGGGGCGGTTCTGTCCCTGCAGTGTGGCTGTGAGATGCTGGCAGCAGTGCTGCCATCACCACTCCTGGCACAGGCAGACAGCGGCGTGCCATTGCACTGGACACAGAAAGAGCTTCAGGTCACACAGGCTGTGCTGCTCCCTGCAGTCAGCCAGCAAGAGAGGAGTGGTGGTGGCAGTGCCACCAAGTTCCTGTTGGGCATTGCTCAGCCAAATCACCGCCAGAGCTGTAGCAGTTCTCCTCAGCCACACGTGTACAGACAGCCTGGCATGAGTGCAGGAGGGTTCAGCTTCTCCTATGGGAACCACGTCCCATGGGAGACCTCAGAACTGAAAGCAAGGGCTGCTGCCATCAAGACATCAAAGAGGAGCAAAAGCTTTGGGAAAAGGGTGGTTCAGGGACAAGAAGAGGAGTGCCAGCCGTTCAAGATAAGCAGACCTAATGGCTGAATATGCTCCAGATCCCTGGTTTTGCTCACGGTGCTTGGCTTTGCCCCGTGCCTTCCTTCACTCCTGCAGGCAGTGCTCACAGAGCCCCACGGGCTGCAGCCCAGGGCACAGCACGCTCAGGGTAAGCAGATTTGGTTGACATGGGATTAGCCTCTGTAATGAAAAGCACATTCTCTGTCACTGTGCACTCCTCATTCAGTGCTTTTGGCACAAATAGGGAATGAGCTGCAAGACCCCCCATTTGAGCAGGACTGAAGCTCAGGAGGAGACAGCTGAGAACCACATGGAACACACCTCTGGGAGCAGGATGCAGGCACTCGTGCATGTCACAGCCTGGCACAGGCACCCACACATCACAGCAGGGACAAAAGGCTGCCATTTGCAAGTGGCTCCATGGACACCAAGGCATCTCCGTGGCCATCCAAGTTACCAGTGACCATGTGCAAAATTTCCACCAACACGGGAGGAGTCCGAAACCACTTCCAAATGTGATCTCATGTCCAAACGATGTGAGGAAACACCGGGCCCCAGAGGCAGCAGTGCTCCTGCCCCTCTGTGCTCCAAAGGAAGGGACCGAGGCTGCCCAGGACCGGCGCATGAAATGCTGTACCAGCATTCTCAAGGCTCCTGCAAAACTTTGTTGATGCAGGAGGTCAGTGAAATCCCTGAACTGAGAAGTCTTGTCTAAAAGCAAACGGTGCTGCTAAAAGCAAGCTAGCAGAGCACAGCTAACCAGCAGTAAGCTACGGCCCTACACACAGTGCTGGGGGCCATTTGGGCTCACCCAGCAGGAGCACACTGAAGGCAAGGTGGGCAATGAGCTCGGGGAGTTCTGCACTCAGCACAGGGACTTTGCTCCAATTCTCCTCAGGAAAACCCTCCTCTGTGCCCTTCCCTGCCGGACCTTCCTGTCACTGCTGCTCCCACGGCGCCACAGGAGGAAGCCAGACTGCTATTCCCAGGCACATCAGCAGGGCAGGAGCTGCCCCCTGGGTCTGCAGCCAAGCAGCATCTGGAGTTGGGAGAGGGGAGAGGGAGCACAGGCCCCAGGGAGGGGGAGGCAGGCAGCTCTGGGGGTGCATCTGTGGGCTCGTGCTCCTCCTCAGCCTGGTCTTCTGGTCCAGCTGAGGTACAGCCCTATTGTCACTAATATCTCAGCATGCACACCACAGCTTTGCTGTTAACAAGCAGTACTGGTTCAGGACAAACCCTCCACCTTTACACATCAGCCCATTTACTCCCCACCTTGTTCCCAGTACCTGAAGGGGAGCACAGCAGCTCTCGTCCCCACTGCATATAGCACTGCACAGCCCCTGTGCCCTCTGGCTTTCCTCCTGATATCCAGTAGCAGGGCAGAGGCCAACGCAGGGCAGGGCTCCAACACGTGGGCCACAGTGGTGACTTTGCTCTCTGCAAAATTCTCCCAAACCAGAACCCCTAGACCACACTGCTGAGATGGGCAACACAAGCACAGAGTCATCACAATCACATAGAGGTCAGAATTAAACCCCAGAGCAAAGGTGGGACCAAGCAGCACAGATTTGAGGTTCATGGAGCTGTGCTGAGCCCCACAGGGGCCCATTCCCCCCATCCTCCTCCCCACCACGTGATGGTGAGCAGCCTGAGCTCAAGGCTTCCATTTCCTTGAGAAGCTAACAGAGAGAGCAGCCAAAGAACTGCTGAGGAATAGTTTTAAAGGATGTCACAGTTTTGCAAAGAGACAAAGGAATATATTTTTTTTTTTAAATGCAGACATCTCCTTGCCAGGAATGTGGGGAATGTCAGGGAATATCATAAAACAGGATGCAAAAAGCTGGCCTCGAGCAATGTTACAGACTCGTATGCTGGCCTGACAGTCAAGATGCTGAATCCCAGCGAAAGACAAACCTTGTGTCTGCAGTGGGAATTACAGACCTGGCTCACCCAGCTGGTCCTGGCACCAAGGCAGCCAGGTCTGCCAGGCCAGCCTCGCTCCCCCTTACACACACACCCACCAGCCGAGGCGCAGTCCCACCCCTTTACGCACAATGGAAGCCACAGGGTCCATTCCTAAACCCCCACACCCACTGTAAGCAACAGGAAATACTTCTCAGCAATGGTGAAAATGACCCTCCCCTGTAGCTCTGCTCATTAACAGCACTCTGTGGCCATCTGAGGGCTGCAGGCAGGCTCACGTCCCTGCCCAGTGATCCCAGTGGTGCTCCGCCTGCAGCAGCTGCACGCACGATGGGGTCAGGAGCAGGGAAAACCTCCTCAGGTCACACTGAGCAGAGCCCCGGAGCTGGAAGGCAGCAGGAATCCCAAACTCAACACACTGACCATTTGCATCATCAGCATTAGAAAACAGAGGCCACTTACTGGCAAGAAGCACCTTATGGAAGGAACAGACACATTTGTTTCCAGCTTCCCGTCCCTGTGAAATTCCCCGTTGAAAGAGGAGTTCTGTCACAGCAAGACCAACTCAGGGCCCTGGCTCCTCACACCACCAGGCTCAGACCCAGCAGTGTGCTGTCGCTGCCCTACGTGCTTCTAAGGAACCCTTTCCCTCAGCAGGCACCTACCTCAGAGCCGCAGGCTGACGACCTTTGCGGTAAATCACACAGCTCGCATCTTTCTGAAAATCACCTGAGTCTGTTTTTATGAGTCACTGATTTCTGAGTAGCGTCTGTCCTCTGCAGGGACTCAGAGCCCAGCGCACAGGAGGGCACAGCATCCACGTCCCCGTGCCCATCGCCACGCTGCCAGGAGCCGCACACAGCTCCTGCATGGCCAGGATGGGGGCACAGTGGGGCAGGTGAGGAGCGGCCACCGCAGCCCTGGTGGATCCCAGGGGTGGTGGAGCTCAGCACCCTCAGCCCAGCGAGGGGCCGGGATCACAGCGCCTTCCCACTGCTGGGGCAGGACTTGTGCCAGCAGGGCTCGCTCTGCCAAGGCAAGTTTTCTCAGTTCCCCGTACTTCCTCCTCTACGAAGACAGAGGATGAACCTCATCGAACACCAATCGCTCCACCTTCTGACCCCGCTCCCTTGCACCCTCTGACAGGCTGTGACCAAAGCACAGAGATGGAGATGAGGGCTCCTTCATAGCCCTGCTGTACCTCAGCACACCAAAGCAAACAGAGCCCCACACTGCGGCTCGGGGCGGTGGGAGGGGGCAGCGCGGGGCCGGCGGCCGCGGCAGAGCAGGAAGGAAAAGCGTCAACGTGCAAATCCCTGCCAGCCTTCGGCGCTGCTTCCGGCAGCAGCTTTGCAGGGTGTAGTTAACGAGCAAACATCTGTGGCCTCACATCCCGTAAAGGACATTCACAAAATCCCCCCCCTCCCCATTCATGAGAAGAAAGAAATTTTTTTAAAAAGAAAAGGTAAATGATTTCTCCCACAGATGAGAGCACGGGGTGGGCAGAGGGGCAGCAGCGATGGCACAGCCCCACCAGCACTGCCTGCGGCCCTCAGCGCTCAGCCACCAACTCCCGTGGCTGTGCTGGGGGTTGGCTGCTCCCATCGCCAACACGGGATTTCCAGCTCCTTGCAGCACAGCGCACAGCACCCATCACTCGTGGTGTGGGGAGCAGACCGGCCTCCCGTCGCACCGATGCACACATCCGTCATCTTTGCGGCAGCTGTTTGAGGAGCATATCACTACTTTCCTTATTTCCTATTTAACCGTCCTACTGGAAAACCCTTCAGTCAGAGACAACGGTCAGATGGTGGTTTGACAGTTACCCATCGGGGGCAGCTGCAGTGCGAGCACCCATAGGGCAGAGAGAGCTCTGCAGTTTTTAGGCACGGAAACAACAGATGCCAGGCAGGAAGGGGAGAGGAGCAGGCAGCATGAATCCAACCCCAGCCTTAACTCCAACCCCAGCCCTGGCTCCTGCAGGGAGCCACCTCACCTCCTACCTACAACAGACCTGGGAAGGACACGGTTGCTGTGGGGCCAGGAACAATCCCTGACAACCCGAACAGCATCACCTGGCCACACTCACCCTCTCCTCTGATTTGTTCCTCTTTCAGAGCTTGAATGCAAACCTCAGACCAGCAGCTGTCCTTGCACTCAGCCCCGGTGTGCAGCTGGAATGTGAACGAATGGAGCGGGTGACAACGTGGTGCTTGTGACTGCTTTGCAGCTTCCTGTCTCCATTTCAGCAGCTGGCACTGATCACAGGCCCTAAGGTCTGATCCCACTCAGACATATGGAATCCTGAAGGCAATCCTGCACGTGCACAGCGTTTGGAGTGGTGCTGAGCACCAGCTGAGAAATGGCACCAAATCCCATTTTCTAGATGTGAGAACAAATGCATACAGGAGAAGCTGACCACCTCCCACCAAAGGCACAGCCTACCTGAGCTGGTACCCACCAGTCTCAGAGCGGCTCATGCCTTCCCAACCTACAAATAGGGGGAGCCCACAGCGAGCCCCCGACATTGCAGTGCCTCCCCCAGCAGCAGTGCTCACAGCTCAGCTCCATCGCAGTGCCTCACTGCCACGGCACC